ATGATTTTTCATGAGTAAAGATGAAAAATCTTAATGTTTTTAACCTTTTATTAGTCAAGAAATTCGTTTATGGTTTTCTTGGAGGTAAAAAAAAACCCTTTTTAATGTGTATTTCTCGGGTAATTTGTAAAAACATTGTATAAAATAGTCATAACTTTTTTTTCAAAAATTTGAATGACGCAAAATTAGTGGCATTGGAAAGTAGGTTCAATTACATTTAATTGGATAGTTTATTTCTCACGTAACTCTTAAATCCTTCAAGAGCATTTATGAAGAACTCATCAAGAACTTAAATACTTAAATTTCAAGAATGATATTATGCTGAATAAATCATGATTACTATGTGGGTGAATTAACCCAAAACTGTATAAGCTCAAATACATTGTAGGGATCACGATCACCCCTTGACGAAATCCACAAGTGATTCTTGAATGTTCTTGACGAATCATGAATTTTCTTCCCTTTTCTCCATGACCTAGCTTGAAATTAAATTTTCTACACTGACTAAAATATGAATTTACTGAATTAAACTCCTTAAAATGAGTTAATTAAGTTGTGTAAGAAAAGACCAAACTACCCTTCTAAAATGAGGTTTTTAGACTTTCTTTAACCCTAACTCGTAAGAACTACGAATTGTGCAAACTCAGTTGCATTTGAATATAATTCCAAGATCTTTGCAATCATATCTTGTAATACACCTAACACATCATTATGTAGGAGTTATGTCCGTTTGAAGTTAACCAAAAACTATTTTTTTCCAACCGAAGTAAATTCCCCGATATCCATTCTTTCCAAATTTCACCATTTTCAATTCTTAGCTTCTTCCTAGTTATTTCAAATCGAGAGATTTTACAATATCTACCCCTTGGATACATTCTTCCTCGAATGAGATTACTCTTACTAGGCTAAGGGTGTAATATGCAACAATTCATTTCAAACACCAAACAAGCAGTGCAAATACAACATGCGAACTCATAATTAAAGGGTACTAAGATGAAAATTAGTTCCTTGATATGGAGTTTATGCGTATTTGTAGAGATGTGGATATATCTTCTTCATATCGTCTTGAACTTCCCAAGTAGCTACTTCAACAAATTGGTTCCTCTAAAAGACATTCACTAATGCATCCTCCTTTTGTTTTAATCTAGGTAACTTGGCGATCTAGAATATGAACCGGAATATCCTTATAACATAAGTTATAATTGATCTCAATATTTTCAGTTGGTACGATCAATGGAGGATTTCCCATGCTCTTCTTGTACATGGATATGTGAAATATCGGATACACTGCTGCTGAATCTTGTGGTAGCTCCAACTCATAAGCTATATTGTCAATCCTTTTGGATATTCTATAAGGTCCAATATAACTGGCAATAAGTTTCCCCTTTTTACAAAACCTCATAAAACCCTTCATAGGTGAAACCTTGAAATATACTCAATCATTTGATCCAAACTCTAACTCCCTCCCCGTAACATCAGTGTAGGATATCTGAGGACTCTGCGCTGTTTTAACCTCTTCTGAATCACTTTTGCCTTCTCCATAGCTTGATGATCAGAATTTTGTCCTATCAACTCTGCTTCACCGACTTCAAACTATTTAATAGGGGATTTGCATCTTCTCCCATAAAGATTTCATAAGGAGTTATCTGGATGCTAAAGTGATAACTATTATTGCCAATGAACTCAAGGAGAGGTAGGTAATCATCCCAATTACCCTAGAAATAAATCACACAATCTACATTGATACCTCACAACCCTATGTCCCCCTTATTTAAAAGTAATCACTTTTTGTATATGAATACTTGACTTTAATTCAAGCAATAAAGGATCTTGGTCTTACTATGTTTTACTTCTGACACTAATGATGATTCAACCCCATTCATGACCACTACTCCTTCTTCTATTGAATGCAATAATCAAACTCCGAGTTGTGAAAGTCTAAGCGCCTCTTTTGCTAACTCTTTCATATCTTCCTAAAATTGAGTTGAACTACGCATAGACAACATACTCATGCTATAAAAAAAATTAGCCTTTACTAGGTGATAGGGAATACTCATGTAATAATCCTTGAGTAATTCTAACCACCGCCTATCAATATGTACACCATACAAATAATGACGCCATATCATCAAAGCGAATATTAGAGAAGCCACCTCTATGTCATGGATTGGGTAATAATTCTTATGAACTTTCAACTTTTTTGAGGCATAAGTTATAACCTTTCCCTTCTACATTACAACATAACCCGAACGAATTCATGATTTATCAAAATGCACCACAAAATCTTAAGTACCTTCTGGTAATGTCAAAATTGAGGTCGTAGTCAACCTCTTCTTAAATTCCAGAAAGCTTTTATCACATGCTTTAGATCATTGAAACTTAATTATCTTCTTAGTGAACTTGGTCAAAGGAGACGAAGAAGATGAAAATCCCCCTACAAACCTTCTGTAATAGCCAACCAAACCCAAGAAATTCCTAATATCATGTGGATATGTGGGTCTAAGCCAACACTTAACTGCTTATATATTTTTAGTATAAACTCTAATGCCATCGCCAGACACTATGTGGCCAAAGACCCGCAAATCCAAGCCAAACTCACACTTGGAGAACATGACATACAACTCTTTCTCCTTCAAGTATCAATAACTATTCTGAGATGACTAACATGATCTTCTTCATTCCTTGAATAGATTATTATTTCATCAATGAAGACAATAACAAACTGTCACACCTCGAGCTACCCCCGAGACGCGTACACAGAATCTAGGGCTCAAACGATCCCATGTTAACCCTGCTGGCATTATCATGAGCATACTATAGAAAATATACTATTACGCAAGCTAAATAATAATTTAATCTGAAAAGATGGGGAATACCCTTATTCTATAACTGATATATTTGAAAACAATGAGTTTAATACAAAGGAAATATAAACTCAATACTAAGCTGAATCTAACTATGTCTTAAATAAGCCTCTAAACTAGACTAGAAATACTGGGACAAGACCTAGAAAATTAGCAAAAACTGAAAATAAGTGACTAAATTATTAAATGAAACTCATAATTGTTGTCCTCGAAGAATCAGGACTCAACACTGAACCTGCTGAAATATAGACCAGAAATCAAACTATGTGTGATCAGGATGCTGAGAAACTGAACCTACATCGTGAAGATGTAGCGCACGTATGCGTCAGTACTTGAAAATTACTGAGCATGTAGGATAGAGTAAAGTTGAAATAAAATATAACTGAACAAGCATAAAAGCAAATATAATAATTTTATATGATAAACTGAACCCTAAGCTAAATGGATGCAATGAACAATTTATAACATGCTGAAACTAAATACTGAATATAATGATAAATGGTTAATGTAGAGAGTCGGAATGATCTGTGGGAGCTACTAATAAAAGAAAATAAAACCACATGAGCTAAATGTGGCGTTTGATGTTTACGCCCCATCGAGAGGACCCAATATACCCTGCAAAAGTTATAAAGGCATGCAGGCGTGATCCCGAAAATGATTTCACACAGACGGGACTTACAACCTACTTGGCTAGTAGTTCTGGGACTATTTGGGTACGCTAAACCCTAGTCCAACTCAGTATTATGCTACTCCCATGGATTTTATAAATTTACTATTTATGTATATGTTTATGTAAATACAAGATAACTCAAAACTGAACATGCAAACTGAGAATGCAACAATTAATCTAGGAATTATGCATTTATAACTTAGGCATGTATATCTGAAGTGTCCGAAATATCTGAACTAGCATGTGTATTTCAAGAACTAATGAAATACAAAGCTAGGGTTATGAAATTCATGCGATAATTGTGTAATAAAATTATAATCTCATTTGGAACATACATTTAATCAAATCATGAAGTTCTGTTGATGTTCTAGAAACCCTAGATATAATCATGATAATAAAAACAATAATCAAATCGAAAACTAGGGACCCATTGGGTGAAAGGAACCCACTAGTGAAATCCTACATACTTGGTGATGAAATCCACGAAAAAGTACTTAAGTGTCGGAGATAGAATTGCTGGAGCTTGCTGCATTCTTGAACTAGGGTTCTTGAGATTTTTCTCCCTTGTTACTTCTAATTTTCTATGTTTTGATTTAATTATTTGACTTAGATATGTGTTAGTTACATTTCTAGGGTTAAACTGACTAAAATCTGATGATTTAGGGTCAAAACGACGTAACTTAGGTTTCAAAATGAAGTGGAAAAGATCCAAATGACCCCTGGGATAGTTGTTGCCAGACCAAACAATGGCCACGACTGACGGTCCGTCGTCTGACCGATGCCCCATCTTTGGGTCCATCGATTGGGATTGTTCGATAGGCCTTTACTAAAATAGGCATAACTTTTTAGTCGAAGGTCTGATTTTAGAAAGGTGGGTAGATATGGAAAGCTAATTCAAATATGTATCTGTGGATAGGTCATAAGACACATAATTAATTTTGAGCTAAGAGTTATGACCAATTGAAGTTGACCCAACTACGTTTCCTTTTAACTGTCTGCAAATTTTCCACCTACGCACCATGCTGGTCATTTGTAGAACTTGTCAGAGAGAGTGTAAATGGGAGTCTCGATCAATGGTCCGTCCGTCGATCAAGACATAGCCAATTTTTCCTAGTTGAATTTTTGGGAGTTTCTAATCCCATCGACGGTGGTGAAGGACGGACCATCGTTGCCACCGTTGGTTGCACGTACAAATTTTTTTTTGAAAATGATTTTTGGTCTATTTTGGCTAAGGGGTGTTAGCTTTTGTCCCCGTGGGAACATTCATCCTCGAATGAAGACGAAATAGCTGAAATAGAGGGAGAGAGCTGCAAAACCCACTACTAAACACTAAGAACTGAGTTTCTGACTAAATTGAGTTTAAGTACATCCAAATACGCTGAAAATGCACGTACAAACTGAAGGAACATGATTCTAACACTAAATTTATGCATGAATGACTGGAAAATTAAAGAGGAACTATTACCTCAAGATGGAGTGAAATCGGAAGGAAAGAAGTTCGAATACTTGGCTTTCATGGCTGCTTCTGCTTCCAAAGTAGCTCCCTCTGCGAACTGACTTCTCCAAAAAACTTTGACCAGATCGACTTCTTTGCTTCTCAAACTTATGACATGAAGGTCAAGAGTCTCAAGTGGCACATCCTCATAAGAAAGACTACCGTTCATTGCCACACTCTCCAATGGCACTATAGAGGCTGGATCACCCACACACTTCTTCAAGAGTGAGATGTGGAAGACCGGATGCACTTCAACTAATTCTGCTGGCAACTCTAACTCATACGCCACCTTTCCAACCATTTTCAATATCTTGGGCCTAGATATATAATATTGACTTCCCTTTCTTTTCAAATCTCATCACCCCTTTTTCAGGTGAGACTTTCAGAAAAATCCTATCATCAAATTTGAACTCTAGTTTCCTTCTCCTTATATCTGCATAAGATTTCTGACGACTTTGGGATGTCTTAAGTCTATCTCTAAGGAGTTGCACTTTCTCCATTGAATAAAGGATTGAATCTGACCTTATCAAAGTTGCTTTACCTACTTCAAACCAACCAACAGGAGAACTACATCTACGCCCATATAAAGACTCATAAGGGGCAATCTGAATGTTGGAATGGTAGTTATTATTGTAGGAAAACTGAATAAGAGGAAGGTAATCATCCCAACTACCTTTGAAATCGATCACACAACCTCTCAACATATCCTCTATTGTCTAAATTGTACGCTGTACCCGACCATCCATCTGTGGATGAAATGTTGTACTAAGGTTAACTTGAGTACCAAGACCTTTCTGAAATGACTTCTAGAAATGAGAGGTACTAAGGACCTCTATCTGAGATGATAGACAAAGGAACCCCAAAAACCTCACAATTTAATTGATGTAAAGCTTATCATAGTCCTCCGCCAAATCTGCAGTCTTGACAGCTAAAAAGCAAGAAGACTTAGTCATTCTATAAACTATCACCCAAATGGAGTCGTGCTATCTGGGAGTACGCGGTAATCCTGTGATTAAGTTTGTATTGATCACATCCCACTTCCAATTAGGAATATTGATCTCTTTAGTTGTAGATCCTGGTTTCTGATGTTCTACCTTGACTTGCATGCAATTGGGTGACTTACTCACAAAATCTGCTATATCCCTCTTTATGCCATTCCACCAATAGACTTCTCGCAGATCGAGGTACATCATAGTGGCACCTGAATGAATAGAATACCTAGATTTATAGGCTTCTGCAAGAATATGTTGCCTCAACTCACCCACATTAGGAACACACAGTCTACCCTGGTAGAGAAATACACTATCTCCCCCTTGGGAAAAAACCTCCACTCTCTTATTATGGACTACACCGTTAAGTTCAAGCAAGATTTGTTCACTATCTTGCTTTTCATTAACCTCCACTATTAAAGATTATTATGTCCCATTCTGAACTGTTACACCACTTTCTGATATGCTAATAAGTCCATCTCCCAAGCGAGCAATCCTGTGAACATCCTTCACTAGCTCCTTCCTTTCTTTCTCAACATGGGCTACACTACCCATAAGTAATCTACTAAGAGCATATTCTACTACATTAGCCTTATCATAATCATTAAGGAATTCAAGCCATCTCCTCTTGCACAGATTTAACTATTTTTTGGTGAACACATACTGAAGGCGCTTATGGTCAGTGAACACAATACAAGTAGTGTATCCAGATCTTGAGTGGAAACACCACTAATGCAACCACAAGGTTATGAGTTCGATAGTTCTTCTCATGAACCTTAAGTTGTCAAGAGGCATAAGCTATCACCTAACCTCGCTGCATGAACACATAACCTAGGCCAACTCTGGAAACATCACAATAGATCACACAACCATATGAACCCTCTGATAGATTAAAGATATGAGTTGTAGTCAATCTAGATTTCAACTCTTCAATGTTTTTCTCACAATCATCATACTATTTGAATTTGACCATCTTCTGAGTCAACCTAGTCAATTGTGTGGCTATGGATGAAAATCCTTCCACAAACCTTCTGTAATAACCCTCTATACCTAAGAAACTTCTGCTATCCCTAGCATAGATATGTCTCGGCATTGTTTCACTACTCCTATCTTCTGTGAATCTACTAGGATCCATTTTCTAGCTACAATGTGACAAAAGAATGAAACGGATTTCAATCAGAACTCACATTTATTGAACATAGAGAATAATTCGCGATCCTTATGAGTCTGCAGAACAACTCTGAAATGACTTACATGTTCTTCCTCACTCCTAGAGTAAATGAGGATATTATCAATAAATACAATAACGAACAAGTCCATATACTGTTTGACAACAATGTTCATCAAATCCATGAAAAATGCAGGAGCATTAGTTAGTCCAAACGACATAACTACAAATACATAATGAGCATACCGAGTTCTGTAGGTTGTTTTCGGAATGTCACTATCTCTGACTCTGATGTGATAATAATCTTATTTGAGGTCTATCTTAGAGAAATGTCTAGCAACCTGAAGTTGATCAAACAAATCAACAATCATAGGGACTGGACATTTATTCTTTATTCTGACCTTTTTCAACTATATATAGTCAATGCACATATTGAGAGAACCATCTTTCTTCGTTAGGAACAAAACTGGTGCACCCCATGGTGAAATACTAGGTCTTATGAAGCCTCTATCTAGAAGGTCTTTCAACTAATAATTCAATTCATTATGTTCTGGTGGAGCCATTCTCTATGGAGGAATAGAAATAAGCTAGGTATCTAGAAGGATATCAATTTCAAAGTTGATTTCTCGTTCGGGAGGGACACTGGAAATAAGTTCTCGAATTCATAGACTACTGGAACTGACTCAAGAGTTGGGCTTTCAAGGATAGAATCCATAAACCTAACTAGACTATAGAGATAACCTGTAAAGATCATCTTTTTGGCCTTAAGGTAAGAAATAAATTGACCCATAGGTACTAAGCTACTACCCTTCCATTCTAAGATTTGTTCCTCTTGAAACTTGAAATGAACAATCCTAGTTCTACAATCGAACGAGGCATAACATGAGTGTAACCAATCCATGCCTAGAATGATATCGACATCTACCATTACTAACTCTACTAGATCTGCTGAGGTGACTTTCAGAGTGACTATGACAATGCAATTTCTGTATACCCGTCTAGCTATAACTGGATCACCGACTAGAGTAGAGACTAACAAAGGTTCTGAGAGAGTTTTTCGACTGACATTGAATTGGAATTCAATGTAAGTAGTTACTTAAGGAAGAGTAGCCCCTGGATATAAAAATACATAAATATCAAGGGCAAAGACACATAATGTACCAGTGTTAACATTAGGAGAATTTTCCTGATCTTGGCGTGCCTGAACAACGTACAACCTGTAGTGGCACTGACTGCCACATGTACTTGATAAGTTACCCTGCTGAGTTGGGCGACTGGCTGGTGCTACTGAAGTTATAGACTGAGCTCTACCATTTCCACGTCCTTGACCTTGTCTAGAAGGACAATCCCTAAACTTGTGACCAAACTGACCGCACCCAAAACATTCCTCTTTTCCTGCATGACACTTGACTAGATAGTTCTTATCACACATAGGGAAAGTGGGGTAAGTCTTGGTGCCTGAAACACATCTCTGAGTTTTCGAGCCTAGTGATTTACCCTTCTGATCGTACCTATTCTTGGAGAATGGAACACTAGCAGATGATGGGGCTGGAGCCGAAAACTTCTACTGAACCTGCACGCAATTTCCACCACCCGATTACTGCTGAGAATAGTCATAGTACCCAGTCCTAGCCTTCTTATTTTCCTTAGACTGTTCCCTAAGTTTATCAACCTCAACCTGCTTAGCATGAGTCAGAAGTCTAGAGATGTTCATATCTCCAGATAACAATACATTTCTGCACTCAGTTTTCACCAAATCTGATACCCCATACAAGAACTTAGTCATCTGCACCCTGGAGTCAACAACCATGTGAGATCATACCTGGAGAGTTGGTTAAACTTGAGTCCATACTCTTGGATTGTCATGTTACCCTGCTTTAAGTTCATGAATTCTTGGGCTTTTGCTCTATTGGGAAAAACCTTTCTAGAGAAGTCTCACTAAATCAAACCCAAGTGACAGGAGCCACATTTTCACCCCTATCCTCATTGCACTGAGTTTACTAGATATAGCAACGTTCTTTACCTAGTATGGTACTAACTCCACTCGATCATTCCCAGTGACTTGCATTACCTCAAAGATCTTCTTGATCTCATCCATGAAATTTTTGAGCATCCTCATTAGCTTTCGATCCTGAAAGAAATCCACTAGTGAAATATGACATATGTGGTGATGAAATCCACGGAAAAATACTTAAGTTTTGGGGTTAGAACTGCTGGAGCTTGATTCATTCTTGAACTAGGGTTCTTGAGCTTTTTCTTCTTTCTTGTTTTTACATTTCTATGTTTTGATTTAATGACTTGACTTAGATATGTTTTAGTTATGTTTCTAGGCTTAAATTTACTAAAATATGATGATTTAAGGTCAAAATGAATTAATTAGGGTTTAAAGAAAGTGCAAAAGGTCCAAAAGACCCCTGCAAAAGTTGGTGTCAGACCAAAGGATGGCCAGGACTGATGGTCCGTCGTCTGACCGACGCCCCGTCGTTGGGTCCATCGACTTGGCCTGTTCAATAGGCCTTTACTAAAATGGGCATATTGTTTTACTCGGAGGTCTGATTTTAGCAAGGTTTGATGCTGTGGAAAGATAATTAAATTATCTATATGTGTGTAGGTTATGAGACCTAAATCATTTTGTTCTATGAGTTATGACCATTTGAAGTGGACCCAACTCCATTTCCCCTTAACTGTCTTCAAATTTTCCACCTATTATGATCCACCTATGGACCGTGCTGGTCATCTGTAGCACTTGTTAGAGGGTGGGTGAATGGGGGTCTTGATCGATGGTAACGGACTATGGACCATCGTCTGACCTACATACCGTCTTTCCGTCCATCGATCAAGACTTTGCCAATTTTTCTAGGCAGAATTTTTGGGAGTTTCTAATCCCATCGACGGTTGTGCAAAACGGACCGCAGATGCCACCGTTCGTTGCACTTGCAGATTTTTCTGAAAAAACTAATTGTCTATTTTGGCCAAGGGATGTTACACAAACATTTCTAAATAAGGTATGAAAACACTATTCATAAGGTCCATGAATGCAACATGCACATCGATCAACCCAAAAAACATGACCGAAAACTTATAATTCCCATATCTAATTTTGGAAGTTGTCTTGAAATATAATATTCCCTTACTCTTAACTGATGGTAGCCAAATCTGAGATCTATCTTAGAAAATTACTTGGTACCTTGAAGTAGGTCGAATAAATCATCAATTATTTGGAGAGGATACTTATTACTGATGGTAACCTTGATCAATTGACAGTAATCCATATACATCCTATCGAAACAAAATTTTTTACTCACAAACAAGATAGAAGCACCCCAAGGTGATACAATTGGTCGAATAAAACCTTTGTTTGAAAGGTCTTTCAACTACTACTTAAAGTCCTTCAACTCTTCTTGTGCCATTCTATATGAGGAATATATATAGGTCGTGTATTTGGAAGAAGATATATGTCGAAGTCTATATCTCTCCTTGGAGGGACTCTGGAAAGACTTCTGGAAAAACTTTTACTACTAGAATTGACCGAATAGGAGGTACCTTAACACTTGATTCATTAAATTGGTCTAAGTGATAGACATATCCGTTAAAAAGTCACTTTCTTGCCTTACAGTACAAAATTAAATGATCCTTAGGCATTGTTAATTTACTTTTCCACTCTAAGACTGACTCATTGGGAAACTAAAACTTGATTAGTCAAGTTCTACATTCAACTAAGACATAACAAGCGTGAAGTAAGTCCATACAAAGAATAATATCAAAGTCTACCATGTCTAGGTCAATTAAATCAGTCATAATACTCTGTGATTGATGGAAATGAGACAATCATGATAGACTCCCTATGCTAGAATGGTCTCACCAACAGGTGTAAAAACACTGAATGGTTCACTAAGTTGCTCACGAATAATATCAAAGTTATAGCAGCATATGGAGTTACAAAAGATAAACTTGCTCCTGGATCTAGAAATGCATAAATAGTAAAGTCAAAGACTTGAATTATACAAGTGACAACATTTGGTGAGTCATCTTTCTCTCGGAGAGTAGTGATAGAATAAAGATGATTTCCTCTTTGCCTGCCCTTGATGTAGCTCATCTAGATGAAACTCTTATTTGGTGAAGCTACTAAAGAAGACTGGCTCTATTTCCCTCTTTACCATTATTCTACCTTTTCTTAAGACATTGCCTTATAAAATTATCATTCTTCTCAACACATGAAGAAACCAGTAGAGCCATCATGATTTATCCTTGAGTTTCTCCTACCACAATTGGCACATGCGGGAGTCTTAGTACACCCTTGTGCCATACTTTCTTGCAAATACGCATGTCTAGCTTTGAATTTATGACAATTCTAACTATTTCACCCACATGTGTTCCTTGGTGTAGGTGAATTTAACAGATTATGGAGCCGATCTTTTCTGCTTCTATAAGAAAGAAAATAAATTCACATTATTCCTTTGCTGCCCGGACTTATTCCTTTTGTCTTAGCCCTGTTATTCTTGAACTATTCTCTATCTCTCAACTTTTTCCTACTCAACTTGTTGCACATGGATCATCAGCCTTGAAATATCCATTACACCTACTAGTATGGTTGTCTTACTCTAATCACCCAAGTCTACACCCTGGGCGTAGCTACCACTCAAGAACCATTATTGGTCCCCAAGGGAACCCTCATCCTAGCTTACTACAAGTGGAAGACTAACTTAAACATGCAAAAGCTTAAAACTGAAATAAAATTTCTTGAAACTTTAATGCAAACATGAACTCAAAAGAAAACATTATATAATAGTATATATTCAATTAGCCCCAAAATAAGCAACTTAAGTCTTTAAAACATTTGATAAAATAAATGAGTAATACAGACATCTCAAGTATACTGACTATCTATGAAGCCTCTAACTGATAAAGATAGAAGTTGGGACAAGATCCACGACATCCTGACAAGACTTAAATGTAAATGAAATCCTCTATAAGAAAGAAGGCTCTTTATAGCTAACTCGAAATCTTGTATGCATCAACGAAGTTCTTGTTGATGATCCTGAATAATTGTGTCTACATCATAAGAAGATGCAGGATAAATATCTCAGTACGTGGAATGTACGAGCATGAAAGGGAACATTTAAAGTAGAACATAAGCTTGAACTTGATAAAAGTGGAAACATACTTACCTCTTCTCATACTAACTCAACTCAAGGCATACTCAAGGATACTCAAAACTACTCAAACTCACACAACTCAGATGTACTCAAGGTTTAGTCACTCAACTCAAAGATTAGATGTTCAACTTAAAGATTATACTCAACTCAAAGATATAATATTTGACTCTTGGTAAACTCAATATAAGGCAATCATACGCATGCAATATATAGAAAGCTTTATAAAAGATTAAAAGAACTTAGTTTTTTTTTCAAGAAAATGCAATAACAAACTCAAATATTCTCATTTAATAAAGTAATATAGCTTATTTGGGAGATTCTGTAACCGAAAATCATCACTATGAAACTAAGTGATGGTACAACATTTTACCTCACATTGCCAACAACCGTCCTATACCTTTTCATCGGTATAGAACCTGATCTACTAAGTGGATCCACTAGTCTTTACTAAAAATCACTAAGGAATCATCTAAAGAGAATGATTTAGTTTCTGCCCATGATGGCTACATTGTTTATGGGGGATTGAGTTAACAGGAACTGACGTCTCCATATCGGTGCTCAATAATACTTCTAAATATACTTAGCTCATATGTTTTTTTAAAAAAAATTCTCTAGTTTGAGATAATCTTTCAAACATAGCTTAAAAACTCTCTTTGGATTTATAGTTTCCTCTTTCTCAAACTAGCTCAATGGCTCGTTTGAACATTTCAGTTTCCTTTCTTGTTGAGATGTGAAAACATTTACAAACTCTAAGGGAATTTATATAACTTTTTGAGAAATGAACCCAACTCTTTAATCTTTATTTAACTTGAAACTAAAGTCTTAAAAACAAGGTTAAAACATTATTAAAGACTCTTCAAAACTTAATAAACTTTACTATAACTTGTTTTTAACTTCTAGGGTTGACTCCGAAAATCTCTTGGCTTTGATCTAAACTTTCCTTGAATTTGATTATGGATTACAGTCTCATATATATAGATCATTTCATGATGTTCAACTTGGAGGGTTCATGTAGAATAATGAACATCAACTACTCAACTCAAGTACTCAAACACACTTCTTATCTGAAGATTATTCGACTTATAGTGGTTCATGAGGAATTATGGGCATGAACTACTCAACTCAAGTGCCCAATATTCATACGGAATTATGAGCATGAACAATTCAACTCAAGAAATTCATGGGTAACATGTAAAAGTTCCATGATTATAAATATAATTTCAAAAGTGTTAGAAACTTATTGATCAAGAATTAGAAGTTGAAGATGCTACTCCTCTCAAAGATCTTCAATGTGTGAAGTCCATGCGGAATTTATGAGCATGAACGACTCGACTCGAAGCTCTACATACTACATGGAACTCATCTATATGACTCTTCTCATTCTCTTATTTGTTTCCTCAAAACATAGGTGAAATAAATGATGGATCTCAGGGAATTCACATTTTAACTTAAAGGATTTCTTGAAATGTACTCCTAATCTCTCTTGAATGTGAATTATGAATTCAAGAGTTTTTGTTCATGACATGGAGGATAAGATCATGACAAGGTAGACTCATGAATGAATTATATTCATCCTCCTATGACTTGCTTAAGTATTGAAACAAGTTACTCGAAGTTGTAGAACACTCCTCAAAAGTACTCGAAGGGACTCTTT